ATTCATCGCATTGAGCCCCAGATCAATACATCACGCACAGATATCATCGTCGTCATCAACATTCTCTGTTTGATGACCTATGTCGCGCCGAGAATCGTAATCATGACGACGAGAAAGTGAGAATACTATTTTTGCCAGGCTTGTAATGTACCACAAAATTATACTCGGCAAAGATTGACAACCATCGTGCCATAAGCTGAGACAAGTGAGGGCTCTTGACGGCGGTACACAATAATGCGTGATTTGTGTAGATTGAGAACATGTTTTGCCAAGCAGATATACTCTGAACTTAATTAGTGCGTAACACATAGCTCAAAGGTTCCTTGTCGTGTACCGGATAATTTTTCTCAGCAGGTTTCATCTGTCGTGTATTTTTCTGGCCAAGGATGTACAAGCACATAAATGATTGGTTACGTTCCTGTAAAAAAATTTAGCGTGTGAAGCCTGCGCTGTCTTCACAAGCCCCATTACAACCGCTTCCGATTGTCACGGAAGCCTGGCGTTCAGTCAGCATGGATTTTATCTTTGGACTTCCACCGATGAACAGAAACGCGCGGGCGTATTGTTATTAGTGTATCGATTCATCAAAATGGTGCTTTTGCTTCGCTCTCCGCCCACGTTACGGGCCCACGTTACGGGCCCACGTTACGTCGGAGTCGACAGCGAAGTTCTTTTATTGATCTTATCTTTAGGCTTCACGGCTTTCGAGAGTCCATTGTTTCGAACCGTGACCCGCCTTTCACCTCGTCTTTCTGGGCCGAATTATTTCAGCTATTAGGCACGCGGTTGACGGCGCCTACGACGGCCCATCCAGAGACGGATGGGCAAACGGAGCGTGTGAACAGAGTGCTCGAAGATTTCTTACGCAGTTATGCAACATCATTCTCGTCATGGAGTTCGTTTCTTCCACTTTTAGAGTATGCAATCAACAATGCTGTACATGCGTCAACAGGGTTGACGCCTTTTTTCGCTAACAATGCGAGGCATCTTCGCGTTCAGGCGTTTCTTGCACTCTCAGCTTCAGAGTACCCTGTCTCCAAGCTTGGTGGGGTGTATCTACCGATGCAACTGCGCCGAAAATATCGATGATTGATTACGATGAAGATAAGGTTGCTGCCGATGCAGCCAATGCTGGTACCAAATTTTGTGGTCAACGGCATATCGACTCCTGACGTGATGCATTCTATCGCGCCTCCCGTTGCTAATATTGCTCCAAAAGAGCATTTGTTGCCTGTAAGTTAGGCTGCATTAACCTAGTTTCTCCTATTACGACAAAGAATCATGCGTTTTTTACGTGATGTAGCACAAGAGGCAGTCGACAAGAAAGGAGAATGCAGATAGAAGAGGTCAAAAGAATATGTTGGCATTTTGAGAAGTTGACAGAGTATTGTTATCAACAAGTGGATTACCGATCACCTCAGTGACGAATTTGGGCGCAAGTACGTTAGCGCTAAGATATATTGGCCCATTTCGTGTTGTGAAGGTGCATGGTGACGCTTACACGCTAGACATACCTACATCTATGCGTTTGCACCCGACGTTCTATACGAGAGCCGATGTCATTACCGACATCCAGTGAGTCGCTATCGCAGGTTACATCACTAACAAGGTTATCGCCCTTCACTTGATCTTACAAGGTCCGATGTCATTGCCGACATCCAGTGACACAAATCACTATGAGTATCACTCAACGGAGTACGTGACGTTTCACTAGGTCGATCCATGGCTCGTGGCGTTCCAATTAGGCCATACCGAGAATGAGATCATATCTCGAGTCCAAAATTAGGACAAGACAGCCTTCAACGCTATCGAAGTCCAAAATCTTCACACCTTATTCCAGTGGAACTGAAGGAATGGTGATACGTACATCCTTCGCGAGACGAACAAGTATACTGCCACCCTCTTGCGCTTCTAGCGCCTCTGTTAACAGCTGACTCCTTTTAAGGTAACGACGTCGAACATAATTACCCGACGCCCCTGACTCAATTAAATGACCATGGCTTTTTACTACCTTTAACGGCTGCCGACACAACCAACAGGCCTGGCTTGTATTCATGCTTCATGAAAGCTTTCACGGAGCCACCAGGGGATAAGCCCTGTTTACCTCTACCTTCTAGAGGCTCAACAGAACGTAATTTTTTTCCAGTAGGGCGCCCCGCGTCTACTGTAAGCTGACGTTTTTCCCTGCCGTGCTCGCCTTTTGGCTAGGATCAGGGTTTCGGCTCTGCCTACTCTGAACGTTGCTTTCGCAACGGACAGCTAGGGCGGAGGTGCCTAGTTCTTCCGCACATATAACATCTACGAATTTTACCTTGCTGCTCTGCAGCTTGAAGCTCAGCTTCTTCAGCATGGCTGAGGTCCATGGGTTCCGCCCTATTAGAGGTATTTAAATTATACCATGGCAGACCATAGCGAGCAAATTTGAAATTGATCTCAGCGTTAAACGCTATGCTCACTTCCTCTTCAAACGTCGAAGGCTGGACACGGAAAACTTCCGTACTGACGACCCCAGTTCGAAATCCTTCCATAAAAATGGTTAATCGGACTTCCTCTGCCAGAGGGTTCTACTGCATAGCAGCAACGAGAGCTCTCAACTCTTGGACATAGTCCGACAATTCTTTCTTACCCTTTCGGGTAGGTAAGAAGCGTGAGCGCACACGATAAGCCTGATTAGGCGGTGCAAACACACAGGTTAATTGCTTTTTAAGCATTTCCCATGTGAGGAACGCAGCATTTACAGAGACATCGCTCGTTAGAGCCCACTCTCTAGCTCTTCCACCGAGCTTAAAAATGGCCAGGCCAACTCGTTGCTTATCTGACACAAGCATGGCGGCATCCATTGCCATTTCAACTTCTCGGATCCAGAGAAGAAGATTTTCTCCCTCCTTCCCCTCAAAGATTTTCACGTTTAAAACGAGTGGGCGAGCCTTTGGCTCTGCACCGGGCACAGGTACCGGGATGTACTGCGTAGGCGCATCTAACGCTGCCTGGTCATGGACCTGCCCGAGTAGCGTTGCCTCATAATGCATAAAGGTCTCAAGGCAAAAGGGCCTCGATTTGATCGGGCCCAACGAACGCAGATAATTTATCTAGTGCGAGTCGTTGCGCCTCAGAGAGGTGATTTTAATTCTCCATCCTCACAGAGGATCAGTCTTTAAATACTCAGGTGTAGGATTGACTACAAGTGCTACCAAGTGTAGCGGAGCTGCACATCTCTTTCGTCAGAGGAAGACTTTTAGGCTGAAAGCCTCTTAGTTCTATAGAACTAATTAAATTTACGGCTTAAAGCTGCTTAGTTCTACGGAACTAATCAAACGAGTAAGAAGTCACCCTGTTCTAAGGAAAGAGACATTTAGTCTACAAGCAATAAGCTTCAGGCTCAGAGAACCTTAACGCACAGAGTGTGAGAACAAGCTAGAAGCTTAAAGGTTCAAAGAACCAGCGCACGAAGTGTACAAGAGACCAAGCCAGAGAGACTTACGATCTTTAACTCAAAATGAGAACTGATTATATTTATGCATTAAGAGTTTATGAATAGTCCTACTCTCAGTACCCTACACTAGATTAATTACTATAATAGTAATTATAATATGCAGACTTTGCTATTGGACGATGTATCGTCTAAACATCTGTGTATGATGTACTTAGTACAGCGTTATCGATTATCGAATCCTAATCGATAAGATACGGTATTCGATAATACGGTATTATTCGATAATACCGTATCTTAACGCTTATACTTAATACCTCTTAAAGAGAATTATCAAATGCAATATATGCAATAAAAGGAAACTTCAACCGTAAACTCTCGGAATGACGTTACAACCATCGTGTAACCCCGTTACATTTCTGCTGTTCGAGGCGCTTTTTTACCAACATACTGGCCAACAGCCGTGACTCCGTACACAAACTCGACGCAAGATACAGCTGTTACTTGAGGACCGTTTACCGTTTGGTTGATCAAGGTGATCGTCATGATAATGGCTTGCCAAAGTGACACATCAAGGATGCAGTACTTTCATTTTCTGTATCTTCAGTCTGTTCATTTGTTTAACTCTTTTAACTCATTTAGAATTCCAAGTCATGATCTTGACAACGTAATATTAGCTATCACGTCGTCCAATGATCCCTGACATTTCACATGAGATCTTGCGCGCTTACATGTATCAGCTACAATCCAAATATTTCGCAAGGACCTTGAGTAGGATAGCTATAGCAGCAATATGAACAGACACTTGCAACTCAGAACATCTGTTGTAGCACCAATCGAAGCTGCCAATGTTGTTCGCGCTGGCACACCGCCGATGAGTTCGTTAACTGGATGGCGGCGCACCTTTTCGCGAACGGATCGATAATGTCTGACTGCATGCGTACAGTCGTCTCTGAATCTGCAATGTCCAAACCCCATTGCTTCCCATACTTTTATAAGTGGTGTGCAAGCAGAGCTGGCACACCATGATCTGCTCTTTAGTAGGGTGTGGAATGGTTGCAACGCTACTGAATCTCTACACACGGCCACGTGCGAGCTGGTCGCGATGCCTAGCATGTCCGCCGAGGTACACGCACCATTTGCGCTCATATTGCCGCACAATGTCAACATAAGCACGAGCATCATCGGAGCTAAAAAATCGAAAGTGGTTGGTTGTGACTACACGAAAAACTAGATGACATGCTTTGTTAAAGTTGTGCTTGCCTGTGAAACACATTCGAAGGCTCGTCTCCTAAGACTTGCATATGCTACTACGACCAATGCACAACTTGGTAATGATCAGAAAGATAAGTTGACATTGTGCAAGCTTCATCTTGATTAATATTCCTCAAATATTTTGAGGTAGACATGCAAAAAAGAAAAGATGCGTTTAATATGGCACATGCGAAAGTCTGCGTTGCCAAGATTGACAGCTACAACATTCGAACATTGCATTGAACAGCCGAAAAATTCAAACAGTGCATTGAGATATTATCGTCGCTGATTTACTGACATCACGCTCGAATAGCATCTACTGTAACACTAGTGTAGCCACGACCAGCGCAACAGCAGAGACCCAGGAAACAGGCAACACTGTAGCGGAAACACTCGACGAGGTTGAGTCAGAGGCAGTACTGCCGACTGATGTTGCACCAACACTGCTCGACGACAAGTCAGCCGATCCGCTGCTGCTGCATGCTTTCTTGAAAGGGTCAAGAAGATCCTTCTTCAGCGAAATGGTGGTGTCAGGAATGTTACAGTCATCGATAATTATTGTCCTCATTTCATCCATGAGCGCCATGCAATCACTGCTATCACACACGGCCTTGATCTTCTCATCTGTCAGCGTCGATATAGATGTGATACTTTCGAGACCCACTTTAGATATGCATCCTTTCACATACGAGCTACTTGCGATAGCCAGCAGCTTGGATTGGGTGCACACCTCCGCATAAATAGTGGAGCTGAAGGCCAGGCCAACAAAGAGTAGAGTGGTCAACGGCTTCATTGATGTGGTGTTTTGGATAATGATAGTAGCGTGTCGTTACCAAGTCGCAAATTATATGGAGTGTATTTCTACCTTCAACGTATCCAAAACGCTCGACTACCTTTTTCAAGCGCAAGTACCCAAAACCTTACTCGATCATCTCCGTGCACTACAGCTGCTCTCATAGAGGTTCAAAACATACATAAATGGTATGGAGTGCACTCTGAAATGGACATTCACTCACCCTGGCAATCGCGACCAGAACGACACGCCACTTTCCTTATTCAAAGCAGCACCAGATGAGATCTTTTAGCTCTCTACACCCACTATCGTGAGCATCTCGTATCTGCAAGGATGCGCATCAGATGCAAGTTTCGGTAGTTTCTCGACCATCTTGGCGCTGACCAACGAGCAAATCAAGGGCATAGTGCTAATTGTGGTGCTAATTGTGATCGTGGTAGCATGTAGCAATACGTAGCTAACTTATAATGGTCAGGAGTGGCTGCTCACCTACAGGGAGATGCGGACCACTGAGTCGGCCAGGTGCAGCACAAGCAAAAAGCACAATCACAGGGGCCCGCCTGACGCAGCCAGCACACATATAGGAGGGCTTTTTCCGCCACTAGTCACGACTAAAAGGCTGTATCGACCCTAATAAAAAACTGTTGCGATCCGCAAAACAACCGATCACAGTGACACATCGAGAGGCGTAATGCACTTCAAAATTGCTATAAAAACCGTAAATGATGAACAGCTGACAATTAATTTCATTGTTGAATTGAAATATATTGGAATACGCGTTTCAACGCTAGCTTTATACCTGCATACCGATACAGAAGTAGAAGCGTTCTACGCAAATATTTTACCTTATGACGATATTCTACATGCTCACTGATAAACCGGGTAATCACCGATATAATGGCGATAAACGCTGTCTGCGTATGTTCTACTAACACAATCCACCGAAATACCGGTGATCAACCTCCTGATTGCGTGTCTCTGTCGCTCCGTTTCATTCGCTCTTGATTTAACACGTTGTGCTATCTACATTATCTGATTCGCTCTATGAAATCGCTCTAAAACCAGTATATCTTTTTTTCGCCATGACTTCAATCAAATGTATCACAACTCTTTCTTCTCTCTACTACTAACCATGAGCTTCTCGTTCATGAATCTTTCCGTGCTTCATCGAGCTACAATCGTCTCGGTTCTTATCCTACTGTTTGGTCTTCTCTTTGGTCTTGTCTTAGACGCCAATGCTCATATCCCTAAACCCTGGAACCGAATTTCCAGTATCATTGGCTGGATCTACTTTTTCTGCTGGAGTGTGAGTTTCTATCCTCAAGTATTTCTAAACCGTCAAAGACAAAGTGTCGTTGGGTTGTCATTGGACTATACAGTACTCAACATGTTAGGGTTTACCTGCTACTCTATCTTCAACGTCGCCTTTTACTATAGTGAGAGTGTACAAGAACAGTACATGCGACGTCACGACGGACACCGCAATGCTGTCGAGCTCAATGACGTTTTCTTTTCTCTTCATGCAGTTTTCCTAGTTGCTGTATCCCTATTTCAATGCACCATTTACCCTCGTGGTGGACAAACCGTTAGTAAACCAACGATCCTTTGGACAGGAGGGACACTTGTCGTTGCAATGCTCTTTGCTTTTGCGGTCGCAGTCTCAGGCAATAATGAAGACTCAGCAATTAATACACTTAATCTATTGTATTTACTAAGCTACGTGAAACTCGTAACGACGCTGGTCAAGTGTCTTCCCCAGATTGCACTCAACTACCAGCGCAAATCGACAATCGGGTGGACTATTTGGAACGTTCTCTTGGACATTGCTGGCGGATTGCTGTCAATCGGACAACAAGTGCTTGATGCAGTGGCAACGAACGACTGGACCGCTATGACGGGGGACCCAGTCAAGTTCTCGCTCGGGTTTGTGAGCATTATCGTGGATGTCGTGTTCATGTTGCAACATTACGTGCTGTACGCCGAGAACAATCATTGTGTTCTCGAAGAGGCCAGACCTTTCTTGCCCAAGTAAATTCAATATGATAGTTGTTGACTATGTATTGCACAAGAAATATGAAGAGATCTTGTAGACTTGTGATTTTCACCGTAAGTGGGTGGGGTCCAGACATGTAGAGCAAGATTTCTACTTGAATCGTAAATTGCTGAAATGCTAGAGCTAATCGTGACTTTTGCGTGCAATAATGGTAGACGACGTATTTCTTATGAATACATGTACGCGCTCAAACCTGAACGCGCTAACATTCTGGTATGCCGAACGGCCGCGATATGGTACATGTCATAGAACATCACATGTCAAGAAATTTATAAACAGTGTTGTTAGAGCTACACGTCGCGAAAAGTGACATCCGGGACTTCTGGATGACTCCAAAGAGTTGACGGTTCTCACTGCTTGGTAGGATGAGGACGCATTCATTCAATGCTATATACATCGTAATTATCGTGTCCGACGTGAGCAATTCTAAATATGCGCCTATCAAGTGAAAGTCAACCTCGCAGAGCACATATTCCGTCAGAGCTTCTGGATCGCTCCCACTGGAACACATCACTCCCGTAGAGAGAACATTGTCGCAGGTTTTCATCAGTGACTTTTTATACGTCTTCACTGAACGCAGCCAGATGTGACACCGAACACAAACTCGACGCAAAATACAGCTGTTACTTGAGGACCGTTTACCGTTTGGTTGATCAAGGTGATCGTCATGATAATGGCTTGCCAAAGTGACACATCAAGGATGCAGTACTTTCATTTTCTGTATCTTCAGTCTGTTCATTTGTTTAACTCTTTTAACTCATTTAGAATTCCAAGTCATGATCTTGACAACGTAATATTAGCTATCACGTCGTCCAATGATCCCTGACATTTCACATGAGATCTTGCGCGCTTACATGTATCAGCTACAATCCAAATATTTCGCAAGGACCTTGAGTAGGATAGCTATAGCAGCAATATGAACAGACACTTGCAACTCAGAACATCTGTTGTAGCACCAATCGAAGCTGCCAATGTTGTTCGCGCTGGCACACCGCTGATGAGTTCGTTAACTGGATGGCGGCGCACCTTTTCGCGAACGGATCGATAATGTCTGACCGCATTCGTCTCTGAATCTGCAATGTCCAAACCCCATTGCTTCCCATACTTTTATAAGTGCTGTGCAAGCAGAGCTGGCACACCATGATCTGCTCTTTAGTAGGGTGTGGAATGGTTGCAACGCTACTGAATCTCTACACACGGCCACGTGCGAGCTGGTCGCGATGCCTAGCATGTCCGCCGAGGTACACGCACCATTTGCGCTCATATTGCCGCACAATGTCAACATAAGCACGAGCATCATCGGAGTTAAAAAATCGAAAGTGGTTGGTTGTGACTACACGAAAAACTAGATGACATGCTTTGTTAAAGTTGTGCTTGCCTGTGAAACACATTCGAAGGCTCGTCTCCTAAGACTTGCATATGCTACTACGACCAATGCACAACTTGGTAATGATCAGAAAGATAAGTTGACATTGTGCAAGCTTCATCTTGATTAATATTCCTCAAATATTTTGAGGTAGACATGCAAAAAAGAAAAGATGCGTTTAATATGGCACATGCGAAAGTCTGCGTTGCCAAGATTGACAGCTACAACATTCGAACATTGCATTGAACAGCTGAAAAATTCAAACAGTGCATTGAGATATTATCGTCGCTGATTTACTGACATCACGCTCGAATAGCATCTACTGTAACACTAGTGTAGCCACGACCAGCGCAACAGCAGAGACCCAGGAAACAGGCAACACTGTAGCGGAAACACTCGACGAGGTTGAGTCAGAGGCAGTACTGCCGACTGATGTTGCACCAACACTGCTCGACGACAAGTCAGCCGATCCGCTGCTGCTGCATGCTTTCTTGAAAGGGTCAAGAAGATCCTTCTTCAGCGAAATGGTGGTGTCAGGAATGTTACAGTCATCGATAATTATTGTCCTCATTTCATCCATGAGCGCCATGCAATCACTGCTATCACACACGGCCTTGATCTTCTCATCTGTCAGCGTCGATATAGATGTGATACTTTCGAGACCCACTTTAGATATGCATCCTTTCACATACGAGCTACTTGCGATAGCCAGCAGCTTGGATTGGGTGCACACCTCCGCATAAATAGTGGAGCTGAAGGCCAGGCCAACAAAGAGTAGAGTGGTCAACGGCTTCATTGATGTGGTGTTTTGGATAATGATAGTAGCGTGTCGTTACCAAGTCGCAAATTATATGGAGTGTATTTCTACCTTCAACGTATCCAAAACGCTCGACTACCTTTTTCAAGCGCAAGTACCCAAAACCTTACTCGATCATCTCCGTGCACTACAGCTGCTCTCATAGAGGTTCAAAACATACATAAATGGTTTGGAGTGCACTCTGAAATGGACATTCACTCACCCTGGCAATCGCGACCAGAACGACACGCCACTTTCCTTATTCAAAGCAGCACCAGATGAGATCTTTTAGCTCTCTACACCCACTATCGTGAGCATCTCGTATCTGCAAGGATGCGCATCAGATGCAAGTTTCGGTAGTTTCTCGACCATCTTGGCGCTGACCAACGAGCAAATCAAGAACATGGTGGTAATAAGTGGATACAATGCTAATAGTGATCGCATTAATGACATGAGGAAAGAAATGTTTTATTTTTTGTCGTAGCTAAACACTTTATCTTTAAATCAGTATGAAGAGGTCCTCGATCACGGTGACTTCAACAAATCCATCCTATCCTTATTAGCATCGGCGTTTACAACCATGTCTGCCTACGTAGTCAGAATATCCGCCATTTTCACATGCTCAATATATATGTATGTAAACGCGTTACGCGAGCCGTCTTGCCACCAAAGTGGCTCAACTTCCGCATGCGTCGGCTTATCTCTCTTCTTTACATTTCTCTCTACTCTCGCCAGGGTACATTGAGCGGCGCGCGCTATATGCGCCGCGCTGAAGGCCGTCCAGGCTGCACGATCCTTTGCACACAGACAAAGGAGGTGCAAGTCTGGGGCCAGTCGACGGCGGTGTCCAGCGGCAGGTTTCTTGCTTAGATCCCTTGGATGTCTATCTTGTCAACAGGTCCTACCCAGGAAGGGTCTCCTCTTGTTGCTTGCACCGGGAATAAAGGATTACGCGAGCTTACCTAAGTGGAGATGACGGGACTTCGGGCGTGGTGGCGTACATCGTGGCGGCTTGGCTGGCGGCTGGAGGTGAGAGCGGCTAGGTAGAGGTGTGTAGAGGGAGAAGACCGTCAAAAACTGACACTGGCCGCTGAAGCATCCGTTCAAGTTCAATATATATATATTAGCGTCCAATTCCCTCCATTTATTTCGTACAAGCTATGATTAAGTAACTAAAACCAAACGAAACAGCTGCTCGACGAGCAAAAGACATAATTTATAGGTAAGCGATCGTCTAACGTAAAAACGATTCTTTACACAGCTTATCGCTTTCTCGTCGCATGTCTTTTGCCCCCCCCCCCTCCCCCGACAAGGATGTATACAAGCTGTGTTGTGCTTCATAAGCCTCATCTCTCCTCAGAAGCACTAAAAAGGCTATGATCGCTCAAGTTTCTTTAAGCTCTATAGCTAAAATTTTGTACTCGCCTCATGCAATGATCTACATGTGGTTATAGCTCTGCATGCGATACTTATAGTTTGTAAACGGATCATATCTCTAGTACACAACCGGGCAATGGCAAATGCCAACAGAACCTGTTGATCAAGAACCAGCTCAGAGGCTCAGGAGCAGTCATCGTACAGACACCGCCCCCCCCCCCCCGTGTTGCTACACAAACCTTCTGCGGGCTTCTAAATTGTGAGCAAGGCACGAATGGAAACCCTGTCATCTCTGAGGTCATCCGTAACATAAACATGGGTAGGGTTCATCCCAGGATTAAATTATTCAGATTATAGAGAGGCATAGGGGATGCCTTGAATCATGGCATTGTTGCTTGTACAGCATAAGTTTTATGCTTGAAGCTAAGTTGTATCTGAAGCTCAAGTGTTACAGCGCTGACAATTGTCGGACTAGTTGTACTCAACTACATGTTAAACTTGTGTCAATGCTGCCTCATTCGGGCTAGTATGCAGGTCAGCGGACAAATCGATCCTGGGCAGACAAAAGGAGTGGTAGAGAAGGAAGCTCCGCGATGGGCCCTGGCAAAGCGTTGTCACCTATGGCAATGCTTTGGTGCTTGCTAAAAAGCCTTTCCAATGCCAAAACACTGAGAGGACGAGGCGACATGGAGTAATGAAAGCAAAAACGGGCTGCAGGGCTGCATGGTGCAGTGCGCTGAATTTTTCACGGGAGGTTTATACTGTAAACAGGCGCACCATGTTGCCTAATACATTGTGCGCTTATAGCAACCAAAGGTGATGTTTGATTCGATATACCCGCTTTGGAGAACCAAAAAGTGATATTGTTAAAGGAATGAAGAACGAGGTGAAGTCGCCACGATTGGCTTTGGTGTGCTTGTTGGAAGCCTGCTTTGGTGATTTCATCTGCCGTCACGTGTAACGCTCGTTGCGTCATCGTCAAGATGGCATCATTTACTAATGATGCACATAGCTACTGTGCATCTTGTGTACAATCAAATGGAACAGGCACTATGCCGTGTGTTTGTAAGACCAATCTGGAGCGGTCATCCCGTACTTGTTGTAGAATCGGGTACAATTTAAATTGAAACCACTGCCAATAAAGCTCGATGAACGATTGTTTGGATGCGGAACAATGTACGCCATTACACGCGCTCTGTAAATAAAGGGTACTGTACATGCAACTCTAGCTCCACCACGATACATGTGCAACAACTTGGCCAATAAGTCCCAAAATGAGCTATCTATCGGTCAAAGCTCTGGTTCAGGTAGAGCGATTTTGTCAAGACGGTAAAATCAAAGAAGTTCCAGGATTGCTGAGACCCAATCTACAAAAAAATAAAACATCTCACAAAAAAAATAAAATTGAAATCATGGAAAATTTTGAGGGCAAATCACGGGATCGCGGTAAATTTTAGCGGTCAAGTGACAGATAGCGCCTCTACAACGAAACGAATGCGTAGCTGAGCAATAGGTGAGCACTTTAGCGTGTTCAGGAGGCTCTAAAGGGCTCTCGCGTTCAACAGCCTCTCTTAGGAGATCCAGTTGCAGGGTCGGCCACGAAATCGATATACCGCCCGGCTTGTCTGCCTTGTACCGCGTCTGCCCTCACTTCTATTGCAAGTTGCATTCGCGCTTACGTGTCCCGTTTGCTGGCCGCTGCTAATCCCGCAATTTGTCGGACTTCGCGAGGGTGAGGGTAAAAATTCTGTTGACGAGCGGCAAAGCATGGTCTCAAGTACACGCAGATGTAGTCAACCGAGACTCGGAGACATGTCGAACGTAATAGTGGTTTTGCACGTCGACTCGAGTAGTAATCTATGCGACGGTAACGACCCGAAGTGAATACCTGCCTAAGAATTCTGAATTCATGTGGCTAATGTTCTGCAAAAGGTGGCGGTTTTTCAATCAAGAGTCGTAAAGCATTTGCCCATTTGTACCAGCCAATTGGTCTGCGCTCGTGATTCTTGCTGCTCAATCTACGAAGGATAGTCTAGACTATGCTCGAAGCTTAGGTCAGGACGCCGGTTGTTTACACCTTGGAAAGCCGTACGTAGCATCAATATCAATTATCTTGCATATTTTTTCTAGCACTCGAATTGCGGCTTGCAAACTGGCTCTGGCAACGTCGGAACGACCAAAAAACCAGCAGCTCTAAAAATACCAGCAATTTAGCTGGTTCATGGTCAGGAAGCGGCTTGGCATGAACTCTTGTTTAAAAGTTTAAATCTGTGCCTAGGATTAGCACCAAAATTCATGAAAACGGCGGCATGAGCGTTCTCAATGCTTCCCGCAAATAGAAGGCAGATATGGCCAACCTTCTCTTATTAGACATCGGCACCGTTCGTTTGGTTTGACGCTGTCGTAGCACCGTCTTGTCGGACTAAGCTTCAGTGGCGGCAGACCGGCGCCAAGGCCGTTTCTCGAAAAGATCAGGCTATTGGCGGTGCACTGCTCTCTGTAAAACTCGTCGCAGCCTCTGTACTCGGCTTTTCCCTACCAGTCGCCTCGTCTTCTGCCAGCTGCCACACAGAGACGTGTACCGTCACCGAGCGAGCAACTGGCCGCTAAATTGAGCAACTCATTTTGCGTTCTGCTCTTCTTTTGATACCTGTGTGCTCCATTTCAATTCTGTATCAATGACTCAAGTGGAAATTCACAACACCAGCCCTATTGGCAGTCCCATCAGTCCGAGTGTCGTGGTGTCACCCTGGACGAAGGACGGTACCTACATTATCGAGGCTACACGCAAGGCGCATGCCTGCTGCAAGTCGTGCGACGTCATCATCGAAGCCGGCCGTCTTCGTGTAGGCGTCGTGTACCAGCACCGTAACGGCTTTGTGTGCATTAACTGGCATCACGTCGAGTGCTACAAGGCCGTGAGCCAAATCCCGCTACAGTGCCTTGAGGGGTTTAGCGACCTCGACCCGCAGCACCAAAAGATGGTCGAGAGTTATCATCTCATCAAGCTCGAGCCGCAGTATCTGCCCGAGGCCCACACGTGCTCCGCATGAGCCGCAACGTGGCAGCTCTTTTGATGATCATCTTATCTGTACGTCTCCTCGAGTTTTAACATGATGGCTGACGCTGGGCCTAGTAACTTTGGCAAGCCAAGCTAGCAATGTAGACAGCACTATTATTTAAGAGCAAACTACCAATATATGAATCAAGCACTGTCTAACTAACACTAGCTTGATATGCTCCACACATTTGGTGATAGTACGCAAGAGTGAATAAGACTGTGCCAGACTCAAAAGATCTGTTAGCTAATGCAATATTTAGCATTACAATGTATTGCGCCACGCTACATACTTTGATTGTTTGTGTCAGACTAAAACTGCCATGTTCATGAAAGCTGCTAACAAAAAAAGTTTTTGATCAATCTCTTCTGTAAGACGCTGTTCATCTTTAAAAATGATCTCTTTTTTAGTCAAGATCCATTCTTCTTTTCTATACGAAAATAAAATCAAAATAATTGCGGTCTCTCCTAATTATTCCAAAAAATATAACACAATCGCAAAAGTCTATCATTATCCGGCAAAGGTCAATAAAAAGAAGACGGTCGTCTGTATACTTATGGACGTGCAAATGGAGGGCCACGACAGCGCGGTGCACGAGGAAAAGTTCCGTGTGTACAATGACGCGTTGGTCCATGCAGCCACATGCCAAGAAAAAAAGTGTAAGGCACACAATGGACGTTGCCACAAGGTGAAGGCAAGTATCGACCATTTTGTGCGATGTTACGGCCCTCGACGTAAATTTTCACCCATTGAAACGTGCGTTTTGCGTCTAGTGTACTTCTCATTACGCTCCTTTGTATTAAGTCATGTGTGCTTGTAGCTGTGAAGTGTGTTCGAAGATCTGGGGTCTGCTCTGTTTTCATGCCAAGACATGTCAGACGCCAGTGGGTCGACGTTGTGCAGTGTCACAATGTGACTATTTACGTGATAAAATTATACGTAAACGGCAGAATGATGGACGGGAGTTACAAGAAGCTAAAGCTAAGGTACAACTCAAGTTGGAAGAGTGGCCTGTGGAACGTCGTATAGCTCAGGTGGAGGCTGATAGGCAGCAGGTGCTACAGCTTATTGCCGACATTCGAGCGGGCAAGACGCAGATGATACAATCGCAGCAGCAGCATATGATGTCCATGAGATGAGAAGAAGGAGAACAATATGTTGACAATTGTACTGCACCTCTAGCTCAACTGCAGAGTGATGACTGCTGAGGGGTATGAAGTTGGAATGGAATGGTATCTGCATTTTTATTCTGTAAATGTGACCTTGTGTACGTTAAGATCGTCTTGTGTGTTGATATGGGAGCAAGGTGAATTAGTCTCGTTTAGTTTTATTGTCATACATTTTCGTTTGTGATGATGATGAAGACAATAAAGTCTGTCACTTTTTGAAGAAATTTATTTTAATCGCGTTGCATGCAAATATGCGCTTACTATTCGGTGTCATCAGAGCTGCAGCGCTTGAGCAGTTTGGGATACGAAAGCTCGTTATAAGAAATCCATTTGGCGACGAGCTTGAAGCGGTGTCACATGTCGTCACAGGTGTCTTGTCGTTAGTAAGTGCTTTGATGTTCATATATATTTCAATGGCAGGTGGACGGCAGCAATGATATACTCACCATGTCACCACTAGCAACAATTTTTGCTGAGGTTTGTAAAGCTCACTGTTTGTCTTTGTGCGTTTTGAGAAAAGTAGTACCAAGCATTGTAGCCCCTACGACCCCAACCAGCTATGATTGATTGAGCGCACTTGACAAGCATCGTGAAGCATTCGAGTGGTTAAAACCTGCATCGCTGTGTTACAGTAATTCATTTCTCGCTACCAAACCGATGTAAGCAGCTAAATCAGTGCATAATCGTTGGACCGCCACCGTGGTGTTTTGAAAGCGACGGTAATTTGCGCAAAGCCAACATTAAGCTCGCGCTGAAGTACCAGACTCACGTGAGTAAATTGCCATAGCATGCCATTTTTACGCGACGAATCAAATCAACCAGCGGCATATAATGCAAGCAAGTAAAGACACCTGAAGATTACTTGAAGAAAGCGGGAATCGAGAACAAATCTTCGTCCAAATAGCTGGAGTTGCCTGTGCAAAGCTGCTCGAGGTCTTCAGAACTTGCATGAACGATGTTTACAGCAACCTCGACTGCAAGAGCATTCTTGTGGGCCTGGCCGCAAAGTGGAATTGACTGATTTTGGTTGAGCACCTTTGCGAAGAAGATAAGCAGGCAAGCAATGCTGGAATCATCGGAGCAATCAGATGGAAGCCGCCTGAGCGTCTTGCGATGGTCCGTCCTTTACATTCAATACTTATTCCTTCGGCGTGCGCATGCTCGAAGATGTGACATTACGGATAACAATGGACGAAGGTACGATTTTGTTGGAGTGCATATTGCTTTTCGAGACAGCTCTATAAAAAACGTAGTAGAGTTATGTATCTCGCATGCGCTGCTTGGACTTGAAGACCGAATTGTTATTACTGCAGTCATAGCTTACTCCCGACATAGACATCAAACACAGCCAAACGAAACAAAACACCTCAGAAGCAAATGCAAAGTGTCGTATTTATCGAAGATAATTGTTCTGCACGCTGCTGAAGAGATAAGTAGCAAAAAGAGACGACACCTGAAGCAGTTGATCGCTGCCGGAGCACCCCATCAACAATATACAAGTACCGCACTCATTTATCGTTACAATCTGCGTGACATTGCATCGCATTCTTTCATTTGGCATGCTTCCAAAACTCAATCAGTTTTCACCCGCTTCACATCATCATCGCCGTCACTATCACTGTCCTCCTACACGCCACACCACGTCACAAGGGTCAGTCATATGCTACGCAGGACAAGTTTCCAACACAACAAGTGCCTACACACATCTTCAAGTGAACGCTTTAAGCCGCTACTGCTGTCGTTCATACTATCATCTGATTTCGCTCCCTTGAGTGCCACAGCTCTTTCTGCGGGGATCAAATGTGCGGGGGTGATATGCTCCGAATTCGCCATCACTGTGTCGTAACAGTACTTGTGGAAGATGGTGTCCTGCTCTTCGTTACCACTGGGACCAACGTTGTGAATGGTCCCGGCAACCGCGTTAGTATACATCCAGTCCTCTTCTTCTTCATCCCAGCTTTTCAAAAAGTTCTCGCCGCAAATTTGACAGCGAGTTATTGTCTCGACGACAGGCACACGCGCGTTCTCCCATGCGGCCTGCTCCCCTGCATTTTTCTCATCTTCTTTTTGTGAGCGGTCGAAGAAGCTGCTGCTTGTGCTCTCACGGGGTGCCATGTCACCAGAAAAATCGGCCACCCACTGGTCTTCGTCTGGGTACCATGATCGTGACACGCCGCCTTTGCCTCGCTCTTTTCGAGCACGGTTGTATTGGAAGAGGAAGTCCAGGTGCGCATCCAACTGGGCTTGCTCACGGAATCGCAACCCACTTTCGCGACACACAAGCGGCAATGCTGCATATAACTTTTGGACGTTGGACTCAACACGGTCCTTGTGAGCTACAATTTTGTCGCTAAACCACATGCGTGACGCATTATCGCTACGTAGCGGAGCTAGCTGCTGCTGATTTCCTTGCCGTTGTGGTTGGTGGGACTGATTAACTTGCTGTGACGGTGCGTGAGAAGATGACGGTCCTGACGAAGCGTTTCCGCTCGACATCCCCTTTAACTTCTGCAGGATCGACATGACAGCTGCCGCATCAGGAGCACGAGGAGGGTCATTAGTGATCTCTTGAGCTGGCTGCTGCGGTGGTGAAGGAGCACATTGTTTGCGTTTCAGAAGCTGCATCAAATGAGCAACATTTGAAGATTTTGCGGCTGCTCCGACACCATTGCCGGATCCACTTTTACTAGTTGCGCTTGGTCTAGCAGATTTTACACGAGAAACCGGCGCCGCGATGGGCATCGTCAGAGCTGGTTGTGTACGCGGCCGGCCTGCCCCCATGGCCCGTGGGTCGTGAGGAGGAGAAGAACGCTGAGAGCTCCTGCCCGCAGGAGCTTGCAGCAAAGGAGATTGCTGCCTACCACTTTGAGGAGGTGCACTAACGGCACCAGGTCCTCGCGGTGCGTTTTCCTGTTCAAGCCTTGAAGCAGCGTGAAAATTGAGTAGCTGGTTGTAATATTCTGGGTTATTTGTCCGCACTTCTTCAAGACTCATGTGCTCCGTCGGATGAATTCCCATATCATTCTGTAGCTTCGTAAGCAGCGACCGTAGCTCCATATCCTGCTGCTGCTCCAGCTTTGCACTGGGTGCAACAATTCCTGTCCGAGTTGGTTGTGCCGCTATTTCCTGGTTAATGCTCGCAGGTACCAAGTGAGCTGACGGATCGGCCTGTTGTAGAGCACGATTTGCTGCACCGCGCATTTGCACAATGGCTTCCTTCTGAAACATGCATGTGGCCTCCCACGTATTCAGCACATGAACGAATCGTTTCAGGTCTTTGCCCGACACCTGTCCATTATTCACACACAAAGCAGATATCACTCTTTCAGGATCACAAGAAAACAACAATTTATTCTCTTTTGGGTCAAATGTCGTCGACTGCATTACCTGACGCACGCAGTTGCAATAGAGCGGCACAATCTTGACAGCAAAGAGAGGTACATACGGCCCTCGTACGTTCTTTAGTATTGAGTCCGTCAGGTAGAAGATTGGTAGTTTGCAGTTCGGCGCAACCTATGAATAGTAAAAAGCACAATAAAAAGCATCAGCTTGTTGGTTCTGCACTCGAGAAGCAGCTCGTTATCTCTCCAACTTCTTCTCTCTCTGTCATTTATATCTAGAAGCAAAACAGTAGTTTAATCTCCTCATGACAGGTGGTAGTACAGGCAAAAACCTTAAGCAGATAGAGCAATATTTATACATGGGAGAGGCATAACAAAAAAGAGAGATGGAAAAAGTCTCTAATGTAGAATAATAAATCGACAGAGAGAGGAAGAAGGACGAGAAGTTTTTTTTTGGTGGATCGGGAAGAGACACGAGCTGGATATAGAGGTTCATTTACCCGATGGATCTTCGTCTCCAAGAAGCTAACAATATCACAAGCAAATTGTACACGCTCGGCCAATTTTGTCAACGCATTGATCGTGTCCTTTGCTGGATAATCCTTCATACTATTAATCTGTGCATCGAATTGGCCCAATAACGCTTGGATCTCTGACTTCGAGGTGCTGGAATTGGCGCTCGAAGGGGAATTCATGCCGGAGCTGGTAGGAGGTGTAGATGAAGCAAGTTGCGTCATCGCCATGAGTCAGGAGAGACGAGAGAGCTAGGAACTGGAGGCGAACTGGGGACGGGCTTGGTCCTGGCTGGCTTCTTGGTCTGGAATAATACGGAATGGTACAGTATATAGGACTATGAGATCTTATATACTTTAAAACAGATCTATATATACAGGATGTATGTACACGGTTTGCAGCTTTTATTTACCTGTAGAATCTGAACATCCTGTTATTACGCATACGTTCTTACATTGAATACGACTTGAAGGGACACGACTTTACAATACCTTATTCAAAATAAAGAGCCATAAATTACAGACATAGCCTTTTGATATGAGCTCTATTCTATTTATCAACTATCCACTCGCTTGTCTTCATTCTTACGTGCTTTTTCGTCTACTAATGACACTTGGAAGCTCACGCATATAAATCATGATGGAAATCCTCATATGATCGATGTCGGTATCATGAAAATTACGCAAAGCTCATCTACCGCTATATCGCTCAACGATCCGCTTGCCTTCAAGAGTCTTGGCCGAGCTTAAGCGAAGCGATGGCGTCCAGTTGATGGGTCCAAAGGGTCCGATAGTCACCACTGCAGTCATTGAGGGTATTTTGAGTGCAAAGCAGACGAGTTGCTTGTTCTTTTCTACCATGCGCTGCTTATAGAGGAATGCCAAGTGCGACTGGAAGTGGTGGAGCCTGATGTCATTAAGATCGAGTCATGACCCATAAGACTGGCGTCGAAATGGAGGTGCTGACAGGCTCCTCGATAGCTGCGCTGTGTGTCTACGACATGCAAAGCCTTGAGTCATGACATTGTGATTCAAACACGAGACTCGTGGAGAAGACAGGAGGGAAGAGGGACTTATCTAGTAAGTAGGAGACATAGAAAGAAAGAAGAAACGCCATTAATCTTGAACTCGGCGACTCCTTCTCGTAGGCGGTTGTGCTTTACTTTGTCTCTACAGGAAGAATACTCGACAATTTGCAGTATTACATCAATATATGGAAACGTTTTAGGAGTATAGTTCGATACAGCGCTGTCGTCGGGTCAACTTTGGCAATTTCATGGACTACTATTGCAACGGTTCATATAAAGATGCATTCTTGCTTCTACAATGATTTTTATGCCTATAAGAGCAGCACAATGCAGTACGTCGTTCTGTCATTTCCTTTCGGTCGACGTTTGCATAGCTTATGCTACTTTTTGTTCGAGCAATGTAGAAACTTTTACGTGCCGACTTTTAAAGATTTCTCTGCAGCTTGTACCCCTGTGATTGAGACAAACTTTGAATAACGCATGCAATCACAATCTAGAAATCTGAAGCCCCAATTTTTTAAGCCACGAGCCACCGGCAGGACCTGCTAAGAATTTGCCTGCTCGTCCCAGCGCTAAACCAGTATGCTTCCGCCTAATTCGAGTATTGATGTAAGACGCGTCCATCATCTTTATCAAGACGTTAGTTTTTTTAGGCGCAGCAAGCAGCTGCTGAGAAGGTATGGAAACACTACAGAATACCAATCCAACCTTTACAGAACAAAGCATGGTCAGATTAGGCAGAAGCGCAGAGGAAGTAAACATCGTTATTAGGAGTTTTAGTCAATGCAATAACAGTGTCATCCATTGAATCTTCTGAATTTCTTGAATCGCTATGTCTCGTTGTCACTCGTAATGGAACCCATAGTGTACCCGATTTCTCAATTTGTGCAGTCTTACACAGGCATCACTGGCCATCACAAGTGAAGCACTTCACTGCCTTGTATACCTACTACAACAGATTATGTTGGAAGTTGTCATCAACTATTATCTTGCTATCTATCAGGCATACGTCTGATACAGTTGATTCCCTCTATCACTAGGACTATTCTAAGAAAGCTTAGGTAGCCACATATATTGGCCTTCAATGCTGCTGATCGAATGGCTTGGTCATATGTCGTCTCACTACGGTCCAGTTGTAGGTTCAAGTCCTATTAACTTTCGACGTCATCGCAAATTTGAGGCTCAATTGGCAGCAGGTTATGGAACTCGATCAATACTGATTCCTCGTCGACGTTGTAAACACTGCTTCACAATGATAACACCGACATTGCTAACATCTTTGACTTGCGCAATATGTACAATGATTTCCCTAAGTTACAACGAAGCAAATTGCAGACAATCGCGAGAAACAAGATGTAGCCTAAACCATTGAACTTCAAGGACTCCATTGCTTGTGTTACTTGCTACTCGAAGAAATCTCAGCATCTTCACCATGGCAAAGCCGAAAGACGCAGCAATGAAAAGAAGGCCAACTCACGCAGACAACAGCCTCTACGTTGACTCCTCCACTAAAATACTATATGACGATTTCTGTATCCAACTTTACGACGTGTCGGGCACCAAGAAGTGAAAAACGACACTGTAATCCCAGCATCTTGCAGAGCGTAAAAACTGAAAGTCTACATGTCGATCACATTTAATAATCTTTATAGACTTTTGCTTTATCTAACTTCCTCCTTGTCTTCTTCCATGGCGGCTAAAAGTTGCTTCAACTCTTCCCACAAAACGTCACGGGCTTCGCCTTCCACGGCTCCGTCCAATTTTGCGCTGCGCTCCTCGTCATCCCTGGCAAACCACACGTGAGTAATGTGCGTGTCTCCCTCGGGAAGAGGTAGTGCATGTTTGTCCTCGAGCCAAATGGGTGGTCCCTTGGCCACGAGACGTCGCAACTCCGCCTTGCAGTCCGCCTCTTGAACCTTCTTCATGAACGTGTGGAATTGCGTCGCAAGCAGCTGCTTTACGACGTCCGAGCAAAAAAGAGCAGCGTGCCATGAACCGCTCGGGAACGTCTGGAATTCACAGTAGTTGCCGTCCTCCTCCGTGATGTCGTCCATCGTCGCCATGCACTCGAGATTAACATGAGGTTTGCCATGTGTCGGCATGTTGCTTGAAGGATATTAAATTAATACTCGGCTGGAGCAAACTCAATTTTTATACAAACGTATAAACGGGTTAATATTTACTGCTACATCATTATGGTAGTCCCAGAGTTTTACGAAAAGAAGCCAAATTATTATCATATAAAGTTACTCAAATTTGCATGCAGGAGTAATAATGTTGAGTTTACTACAAAATGTGTGATACATATCAACCGTGCGTCTTGAAGTCATTATCTATTGCTGTTTCACTTGCCAAGACAAATGCCACTATTGTTTTTGCGTAATGAGTAGAAAAGCTGCTTAAATTGTGACTCCGTTACACAGCCATGGGCATTAATTGCCAATGTAAATATTATCTTAGTGAATAATATCCAGCAAAGGGCATCTGCAACTTCAAGGATAGATGTAACGACTATATTATCTTACGAGCTAATATAGTCGTTACATCTATCCTTGAAGTTGCAGATGCCCTTCTTGTTCAACACCGACAGTGTTAGTTGTAGAGTAGCAGTCCAAGGCATTGTGATAAAAGGAATATGTCCTTTATCTTCATACACGCACTTACCCGCTCCTCACTCCTTATCGCTCCTGTCCACTCAATCTACACTTGGCCCAAATCCAATTGCAAATAGTATAGTGAATACAAATGCTAAGTCAGCGGCCGTCATTCCCATCATCCCGCGCCTTTCACGCGCAGTCGTACCGAAGGCGGTAACACTCCTCCTCGGCCATGACGTCGACACCTCACTGACTATTTCCAAGACGCAATAGCTTGCACATCTTAGCGAGCTTAGAAGCATCGAGTGCCTTCGTCAAGAGGTCAGCAAGCTGAAACTCGGAGCGCACGAACTGCTCAGCAACTACACCACGCCGGTCAATGTCGCAGACGAACTTTACTCGCACATCGATGTGCTTCGCCTTAAACGAGGACGCTTTGCCCGCCGACTGCTTTATCGCTGCTTGGTTGTACCATTGGAAGTGCAGGCGGCTTTCCAATCTCGCATAGTATTTCTCTGATGCCGAGTAGCTCGCGCGCTTGCTCTGACGCGGCGACAAACTCCGCCTCCATCGTGGAAAGCGACACCCCGCCCTGCTTCTTCGCCGTCCAGCTCACCGGCATCCCACTCAAACGGATGATGCCACCGTCAGAGACTTTCTGTCTGACTTGTCGGCGGCGAACCCGGCATCCGAGTAGGACTCAAGCAACAGCTCGCCGTTGGAACTCTTCGTCGGCGTCATTTGCAGCTTGAAGTCATGCGTACCCTTCAGGTACCGTGCGATCCGTTTCGCTAGCTTGAGGTCGTGCAATCGCGGCTGGTGGGTCTGGCGCATTTCCTTGTGCACGGCGAACGCGATGTCCGGCGGCGTGCAGCGCACCACCCAAAGCAGCCTACCCACAAGTGATTGGAACGTCCGGATACCTTGAATTCTGTCCTTTCCACTTAATCCAAGCAGCGCGCCGTCTTCTGGATGCACGTCGTAGCAGTCCGCTCCAATTGTAGCTCGCGTCGAGTTTTCGTTCTCGAGACCATGCTCGCGCAGCAGCTCGCCGATGACTTCCGATTGGTCCAGCACGTATCTGCCGTCTCCATCGATCTCCACGCGCATCCCGAGAAGTTTGCTGACAGTGTCGATGTCCTTGATGGATAGGCTGCCAAGCTGATCGAAGAAGCGGTCAACAGCAGCTGCGTCGGCCCCGTTGCCAGCAGGTCATCGACGTACACGCCTGCAACGACCAGCTGATCGTCGTCAACCTTCCAGTAGAGCATATATGCACTGGATAAAACCATCATCCAGCAGTCGAGCGTGCAGGAGCTGACTACAGAGTAGACCGGTCTGCTTGAGGCCGTACAAGCTCTTACGTAGCTCAAGCACGACCTCCTTCTTGCTTGCGAAGTTGAGTTTTTGAGTGTGTCCTCGTCGCCGCCCACAGCCTGAGGGACATGAAGCTGTATCTCCAAGTGTGCTTCCTTGTCCGCCTTAACGTAGGCGCTGAGGATGTTCCCGTGTTTTGCCGGCACGCCCCTGGTCGCCGCAAGTGCGAGGATCATCTTCACGGTTGACATGTCCATGACAGCCGCGAATGTGAGCTGGTAATCGACCCCAAAGAACTTGTTTGTTGCCGCACGCCACCAACTGAGACTTCAGCCGATCGAGGAAGCCGTGGGCATCGGTCTTCGTCTTGAAGACCCACTTCGTATGAAGTGCGTTACTTCCTGGTGGTCGCTTGATTAAGCGCCACACGCCATTATTCTCCAGAGCTTGGGGATCCTCTAGCATGGCTTTTTCCCAGCCTTTTCGCTTGGAGCTGCGCAGAACTTCCCGATAATTCTTCATGTCACGCTCGTACACGTGCGCCACCACACTTTCTCCCAGTCCTGGCTCCTCCTGATCTCCTGACGCCTGCGTGCGCCTCGTGGAGCTGCGTGTCCTGTGAGGTGCACGCGTCCACGACTTGAACTTCTTCTTTTTGCTCCGTATTGTTCGTTCTGAAGCCTCTTCAGCTGGCGCGTTCGTCGTCGTTATCGCTCTAGGTGCAGCCACCTCTGCGTCATACGTCGCTCTTGTGGGAGACTGATTATCATACTCGAGCGCGCATTGAAACTGACTATTCTGTTTTGCGCTAAGCGTTTCGATATTGCGCACGTGCTACGTGACTGTGACCTTATTCTCCTTTTGGAAGAATACTCTGAAGCCTTTCGTCTCGTCACTGCGCCCGATGATGACGCCGACCTGGGCGCGTTGCGCTAGCGAGTTCTTGCCTGGGTCTCGGTAAAACGAGCAGATCAATACAAAGGCGACAATATCGTGCAGGTCTAAAGTGCGGTTGCCAGCATCTTTATCGGCAAAGCACGCTTTGGATTCGCGCTCGTCGGACTGCGGTTAAGTATATACGCTGCATACTCGACCGCGTCTCCCCAGAATGACAATATCAGGCGGATGGTGAAGATCATGCTGCGCGTCATGTTCAAGACCGTCCTGTGCATGCGCTCGGCTTTGCCGTTGGACGCCTGGTTTCGCGCTTCGCTAATTTTCCGCGCAACGCCCGTCGACTTGCAGAAAAGGTCGACGTTCGCATACTCCCCGCCGCCATCTGCATGAAGTACGTGAATACGACAGGTGAACCGGCGCTCGAAAAAGGCTAAGAAGTGCTCGAACTTCTTTGCTGCCTTGTCCTTTGTCGGAGCAAGGATAACGCGACAGTAGTTCGACTTTTGGTCGATGAAGTTGACGAGTTATCGGCTACCAAGTCGGTCCTTTGGCGTCATTGGTCCCTTGAGGTCCGAACAGATGACACCTCCGATCCGATCGATGGGCGAGTTCACACCGGTGTCCTTCCGCGACTGTACGTTCTTCGTCTGTTTGCCTTGAGCGCACGAGATGCACGTCGGGCGCTTGGTGTCCGTGAGCTTGATACCAGACGCTGGGTCTTTGGCCATCCTCTCGACGGTCTCGTACGCTAGATGCCCGAGTCGTTGGTGGAAATGTAGGAGCGATTCGCTTTGTATGTTGGAATCTGACTCGCCCGTAGGTTCTTCTCGTGTCAAGATTGTCATCAGCACACACTTGGTGTTTGTGACTCGCGTGCCGCTGACACCGTCCTAACGTATAGCACGTTATGGTCTATCGACACGTCGAACGCGACGGCGCCATTATTGCGTTTTTCCAGGACGCGCGTCGGCCCATCGTACACAAGACTAAAGCCCTTTCGCTCGAGCTTGCAGTAAGACATAATGTTGCGCGAGAGCTCTGGTAAAGGTAGACGTCCGTCAGTTTCACGTCTTGCTTCCTGCCCTTCGCTACCACTGTCAACACCACACTGCCGACTTGCGATAGCTTGATCGTCTCGCCGTCAGCGAGGTGACACTCTTGGTTATAGTCCCGAGCAATATGCAGCAGCGAAGGATCATTGCCGAGGTGTCGGCTGGAACCGATGTCTAGGACTCAGTCTTTAATACCGTCGTCACTGTCGTCACCAATTTTCATTGCCAGGTCGTCGCTGGTAGCGCGCAGGCCCTTGCTGCCAGTGCCCTCACCTACGGCGAGCACCATGTTTCCAACGCTTCTACCTCGACGGCAACCGTTAGTGTCTCCAGTCTTCTTGCTGCAAAAGTAGGCCTCAATGTGCCCCACCTTGCCCCATCCAAAGCAGTTTCGCGTCTCCTTGCGTAACTCGGGCTCTTCCACGTGCGCGTCTACCTCCTTTTAAGGGAGCGACCTGATCGAGCTTCTATCTCGATGGCTTGGGCGAAGTGAGCCAGTTCCTCCGCTTGCAAAAGGTAGTCGACGCTGTGTGTCTGGTACACTTTCATTAATATCTTCGACAGTTCAGGTGACGCGTACCGAACAATATTGTCGAGTAATGCTGCTCGGCGCCGCCCGCAGCGTCACTGACGTCCACCAGGTAGAGGTTATGCTCCGGCCACGAGCGCTTGCTGTATTTTCTCGTCTTGAAGAGCTTTAAGGCTTTTGCATCAGTGATCGTCGTCTTGAACGTGTCTAACATGCGTTGCATCACGTACTGCAGCGTTGGCAGCACAGCCCACCCCGTGTCTACCTGCTTGTTGATGTAGCGCTCAAAGGTGCCAGTGAGGTATTGGCTGAGGGCGTCGGTCTTGACGTTCACATTCCACAGGAAACCACACGACTCCTGCGCCATGTCGACCTGGCGCCAGAAGGTCTTTCCCCAGTCAAAGAAGCCTGACCCAAGCCCGACGTACACCTCGGTGCCGTCAAGCTTGCGTACTGCGATCTTGCGTTGCCTGGCGTCAGGCGTTCGATACTGCGTTCGCGCAAAGACTTGCAGCTGTGGCCCTTGCTGGGCCTGGTACGGTGGTAGCTGAGTAGGTGGATGCGGCAACGGCACTGCACGACGCTGCACTGTATGTCGCGCCCCCATTCTCAGGCCGTCATGACGACCCGCAGCCTGCTGTGCTTGAGTCGATTCATGACGTCGCGCAGGTCAACAATTCCAAAGCTCCGCGATGTAGCCCGCCGAAAAA